TAGTATGTGGTCTATTTTGGAGAAAGTCCCATGTGCTGCTGAGAAAAATGTGTATTCTGTTGGTTTTGGATGGAACATTCTGTTGATATTAAACCCATTTGTCCAAACGTTTGGTCTAACTCTTAAATTTCTTTGTTGATTTTCTGTTTGGTTGATTTGTTCATTTGTGATAGTGGGGTATTGAGGTCCCCAGTCCATCAACTGATTTCATCAACACTTCCCAAAATATATCTAAAGATCATCCACTTCCCTCCATTTCTACCACCACGCAGCAGAGCCATTACAGTCTTCCACCAGGTTTCCTGCAGTCGTCGCTCATCTGATGTCCTTGCCTTCACTCCTGTCCTCCTACAACCACTAACTCAGCAGCCGAAGTGTCACTTCAAAACAAAAATCAAATAATCTCACGTAAAACTTCTAGTGGCTTCCCATCACATTTAGAAAAAAAAATCCAAATGCAACAGCACAAATACAAATTCATACAGCTTGGAATTTGTTATTTTTGAATACTGTGGCTCATAGGAAACACACTTCATCTAGAGGAAAGTACTACAAAGAATGCCTTTGAAAGCAAAAGCACCTGAATAAAAACAGACCTGTTTGAGACTTCGCATGCATAAAGCAAAAACACACACTCATTCAGTGCACAGGGGCTATGTGGATTGGTAGATTGCTGCAAGTCCAAAGGAGACTCAGTGTTTAGAAACCAAAGCTTTACTTCAGTGTAGCTGCTCAAAGGCAGTGTGTGTGTTACGACTGAGAGAGACTGCAGAACACGGCTTCAGTCTTCCTCAAAGAAGGTGGGAAGTGGGGCCCTGCCTGATGTGAGAAACCACCACCCTGCTCTCTCCTGAAAAACAAAGCCCTCACCACAACCTGTCCCTGACCTCTCCTTCACCCTACTCACTGACATATGTTGAGCTGGCTATACTGAAACAAATGCTCCTGGCGGTAAAGGTGCCAGCCTTGCATACCTCAAAACTACCTGTGCATTGCTAACTGGAGGCCTCTGTATCTGGTAAGGCTCCAGAGTTTCTTTTCCCTATGTATTCTGCCGTGACCCCCACCCACCTCCCTGATTGATACCAGTAAAAGCCATGAGCTGTGGGAGAGGAAGCCATTCCAGAGAACACTGCGTCATCCCAGAGCTCAACTACAGAATACTTTCTTTCACATCCCTGTGCCATACTGCCGGGTGGGTTAGACACCCTCATCAGGGGTCATGGTTAACTGTAAACTTTTAGACTGATACCTTCAGCAGGGGTTTCCATAGCCTGACACTTTTTAGGAACCAAAAACAAGAATGTAGGTATTCTGAGTGACCCCCAATTGTTCTGTTAAGCCAGGCAACCTCCCCAATTCTAACCTTACTGAGAAAAACTTGTCAAAGTGTCCTCTTTTTGTGGATTGGTAATCTTGACAAATTCCCTCTAGAAATACTCTCCTGAGCATAAAATTAACCAACATGCTAACCCTTCCTCCTCATGTGCTTTGCAATTCCTTCCTGTTCCCCCTTCATCTTTGGACATCTTCCTTCAATCCTTCCTTCTTTCCTTTTTTTTTTCTCTCTCCCCCTCCTCGCCTTCCCTCCACTTCCCCTCGACTCAAATAAATGTGGTCTTGGGAATGTATTCGGTCTCTGAAATACCCCTAAATATCCTTCTGGTCCTTTGGCTAATTACTCCCAAACTTATCTCCTGACCTGACCTTATCACTGAATTCATACATTTTCAATGTGTCCCTACAGTGAATTTCCCCATCCCAACAAATTACAGTACCTCAAATCAAAAACCTAAGATCCAGACCTCATTGCTTTCTTCTGATACCCAATTCACCAACAGTGCAGCCATTCTTTGTTGTTTTGGGATGCAGATACATACCACTGGGCTAAGTCCCTGCTTCATAACATGGCACCAAGGAGCCACTGCTGGTTCTCTCATGGTACTGTATTTACCTTTAATGATAAATGAAATCCATAAACTCACCATCCAACCTATGGACCTTAACGGTGACTTAGATATTTGCCCCTCACTCCCTCCACCTCTCCCACATCCAGAGTAACCACTATCTGAACTTCACTACCTTGTTTTTAAGAAAATTTTCCTCACATTTATGTACAGATGTTTTGTTTTTTCTGAGGAAAATACTAGGCTATGTGTAGTTTTCTGAGTTGTTTTCACTCCATTTTTGCTAGTAACTCACTGTGATGTAATTGGTCACTCATTTTGCCATGTAATTGTATACTATGTGCACACACAATAATTTCCTACAGATGGAGAGTTGGATTTTTTTCCAGAACATTCTTATATATGTATTCTGGGCTCTTTCTACAAGTATTTCTCTTGCATATACCTACAAGTGGAATTACTGGTCCACAAGCATATGAAAATTCAACAACTATTAACTTGAAAATGAATAGTTTTTCACACTGGATATACCACTTGATGCTCTCATTAGTAAATGTAAGCAATCCTAAAATCTTCAGAACTTGACTTTGTCAGGTTTGTCAGGTGACTTTCTACATTTAAAGTCTAGTCCCAATTTATGTTTCTCTGATTAATGATGAAAACCTTTTAATGTTTATTAGCCTCTATGTACTCCTAATTCTTTAGAAAATCTGAGTCTTTTGCCTATTTTTCTACTAGGTTTCTGTTCTTGTAGGTTTGCAGAACTTCTGCAAACTGCACACATTATTACTACTAATTTAGTAATGACTGTGTTAGTTGGCCTTCTTCAAGGTCTTTTGATGGAAAGAAGTTCTATGTTAATTTATAATATAGTAAATTTAATTTTTTTTTCTTTTTGAAACCGGGTCTCACTATGCAGTCCAGGCTGGCCTTGAGCTCACTTTGTAGCCTAGGTGGGCCTCGAACTCGCAACAATCCTCCTGCCTCAGCCTCCCGAGTGCTGGGACTACAGGCATGCACCACCACACCCAGCCAATAAATTTAATTTTTTATTGTTAACTTTTGTGGTTTCTCACTGCAAGTTAAGATGTTCTTAAAGCAGGCTGACGAAGATACTGTTATGGCTTGTATCTAGATATCCCCGCAAAGCTTCCTTCACTCAAAGGTGGGGGTTTTGGAGGTGCTGGATCTAGGGTGTGTGACTATGGATTAAAGGTGTGTGGTAACTAAATAGGGCCAGTGATTCATTTAGCGTTGTCTGGACGTGGACAATGGGAAGCCCCACCCCGGGTTGCAGCCTGAAAGGAGTAAAAGTGAAAGGGAGGCTCACTGCTGCTGTCTCCTGCTTGCCGCATCATGAACTGTTTGTCCCCTGCCATGCCCCCTGCCTTGAAGCCAGACAGTTGTTAGATTTTTCTATGCAATCATACCATCTGAATATAATGAGTTTTACTATCTCCCTTCAATCACATTATTTCCCTCATCTTACTGCACTGGCTAACAGTAATGGCTAACAGTTTGTAGTGTTATGTAACTCATCTTTATCCTTAATAATGTTTTTAACTTAATGTCTATTTAGTCTGCTAATAGTATAACCAAATTATTTCTTCTGCTATTTTCCTGGTACCTTCTTTCCATTCTTTCATTTTCAGTCTTTCCATGTCCTTATGTTTTATGGATAAATATATTTTAACACCATGTTTCTGTCTGCACAAGATGAACTGGTAAGTTTATGCTCATCATCTTACACCATCTTATTTCCATGGAACACTACTGTTCCACTTGATCATTTTTTTTCCATCTCACTTTTGATGTCTATCTTCCTTCTAACAAGCTTCAAGTATCCTCAGGTTGTCTGGTCTCTGCCCATTCCTGCTGTATTAATATTGTACAGAATTTTAGTTTTTGATATTATGAATATACTTTCTGCTCTTTATAATTCTTTAGTCCTGCTTTTTATTTATTTGGGGTATCAACAAACTTTCCCCAAGTATCTTGATCTTTCTGTGTGTGTGGCAATATTGAGGATTGAACTCCAGATTTTGCACACACTAGGTGTATAGGTTGATACATTGTGTCAACTAGAGAAGTTTAACTAAACAACTCAGCAAGGGGCCAGGGTCCTCACTTTGTAAACAAACTCATCCTGTGCAAGAGGAGGAGATGCAGATGGTGAGTGCTACACCCGCCCTCGGGGACAGCAAACAACTGGCATACAATTATAAGGGAAGAAATGAGCCTCACTCCCCATCCCTTGCTCTTTGTGCTTTTGCTGTTTTGTGCCACCTTGCAGTGTTGCCCTGTGCTATGCTGCCCTGCCTTGGAGCCAGCTGATTATAGACTGAAACCTTCACAAACTGTGAGCTAAATAAACCTTTTCTTGCTTAATTTTGGGCATCAGGTATTTTGTCTCAGCAGCAAAAGTAACCAAGACACTGGGCAAACACTCTGCCCCTGAGATGCCTACCCACTTCCCCACCAGCTCTCATACTCTTCTTTCCAAATCTTAGTACAGCTTGCATTTCTTCTTAAGGACTTTCTCCAAAAGCACTTATTGTTTTTGCAGAAAATCTTCGAAGCCTCAAATGCGAATATGTTTATTTTGTCCTGACTTTAGAATAACTGTTTGCTGGGATATCGAATTCTACGTTTGAAGTTCTTTTCACATTCAATTCCGGATTCTCGAGATGGTCAGAATAACGACTTCTACACTGCTACTCTCAAATGTCCTTTTGCATGTGGGCTCCCACCCAGTCTGGTGACTCAGTTTTCTACTGCTAATGTTGATCAAACCTCTAACCAGGGCTGGAAAAAATGTCATCTTCAGAAAACCCATTCTCTCAGACACACTGTTACCGTGACTATAAATTGGCTCAACTTTTCTGGAGGGTAATACAGCCAGGCAAATCAAACATTTTAAAATATACATATATACGACTTTATCCAACGATTTTACATCTAGGGGTGCACATGAAGGAAATAACCAAATAATGCTCAAACATGTACACACAAGGAAACTCCTCATAGAATTGCAACAGGAAAAAAACTCTAATGTCCAAACATAGTTAAAGTTATATAATCAACATACAGTGATTGAGAGGTACAGATTTATTCACAGGCAAACATTCCAGATTTTTTTTTAAAAAGAAAGGGCTAAACTATTTCAGTAGGAAATATCTGAAAGCTGAAGGGCTAGTCTCTAAAAATATTAACAGTAGTTTTCTCTTGAGAAGAACAGTTTCTCATTTCTTCTTTTTGTCCTCCTATACTTACCATATCTCCATCGTGAGCCTCTTTACCTTTTATTTTAATAATTTTTCCACACGAGTCATGTTTCTATGGTCACTCTATATTTCAAATGTACTATTCTTTCAACACACCCTTTCAAATCTCCTTGAACACACAAACTCCTTATTTACCTTTATATGCCTCCAATACTATGATCATGCTCAACATACATAAATCCTGAGCGCCTGTACCATGATACATTAAGAATGCATCTCTGGAATAAAATGTGACTGCCTTCCATCTCAGATATTTTAAAAAAAAAAAAAGTATAAAGGATTATTTAAATTACAGAGAGTAAAATGATAAAAATGGTAACTTTCAAACTTTTAGCAAGGGTCTTTCTTCAAATAAAAGTTTCTGAAGCCCAATATATACAAAAGATAAAAACAGAGGTGAGTTTTGTCTGATAATAATCTTTTTCCTTGCCTCTTGGTCTGCTGTAAGTGTGAAAACTACTTAACATATCCTGCTGGCTCTAAGAGGCCATATTAGAACTAGAAGAGAAAAACATTCAATCTAACATATACATTTATTTATTTATTGGAGTTTGCATCTATAAATAATCACTAGTACAACTGTAATCCTTATATTACAGTGTGTCCAACTAAAGAATAAGCAAACACAGCATAGGTCAGTTGAAATCACAGTACTTCTCAGTGTAATTTGCAAAAGGAGGGAAAAGTCTTGGTCAGGCCCACTTCTTGGAAATAAATATTGAGTAACCATAGAAATATTCAGCCGTTTTCCAGTTGTTCAGGAAGGTCTGTGCGTGGTCCCATGCAGTGCATCAGAGTTCCTCTTTGAAATAACCCAGCTTTGCCAATGACATCTCTTTTCTCAACTGCATAACTTCCCAAAACATCTGATCAACTACACAGAGAAAAGAGACATGTAAATTATAACTTATCATCTTAATCCTTTTTAATGTTTCACTGAAAATTATGGATTAGCTGAAATGCCAAATTGGGCATTTCCTCACTGTACTAATGCCTAGACAATCCTTCAATATTTCACACAAACTTTTCTATTACTTATGGGAATCCTAGTTTTTATTAATAAATAAGCAATTCATTAGTTTTGTCACAATTATCTGTTAGATGCATAAAAGACTATCACTTTAGCCCAAGGAAAAGCAGACATTTCATTCCTGAGGAAATGTCACTGTTGGCTGCATTCATGTTCCATTATTCAAGTTACTGTCCAGCAAATGGATCTTCTGCTCTAGCATATTATATTTGGCCATTTTATTCTTCATTAACACTCAGAAAGGAAAATAGGAAAAAAAACAAAAAGATAATCCAGAAAACTCAGTAACATTCTTTGTAATAATAGGGAAAGGTTTTCTATATGGCCGAAATTAGAAATAAAAGTAAATGTAAAGGATGTTCTGTAATCTATCTATCCTTTGGTAAGTTCTATGATCATACTGAATTGATTTATCAGTGGTTCTCAACCAGGGAACTCCCCCATCCCTAAGATACACTTGGCAATATCTGGATTCACTTTTTATTGTCACATTTGAGGGCTGCTACTGGCACCTTGTGAGTAAAGGCCAAAGATGCTACTAAATATCCTACAGTGCACAAGACATCCCTTCACAGCAAATAATTTTCCAGCTCAAAATGTCAATATAGGTTGAAATCCTTATCTGAAATGTTTGGGACCAAGAGCATCTTGAATTTTGGATTTTTTTCAGATTTTGGAGTATCTGCATATTTATAATGAGATCTTAGATAAGGGACTTCAATCTAAATATGAAACTCATTTATGTCTCCAATATACCTTATACAAAAATACAGTGAATGTTTAGCTTATTTGCTTAATTTATTAACCACAAGCCAGACTACCATTAATCCCTCTCAAAATACTCTGCCTCACCTTGAACATACTTATCCTGTTGTTCTTGTCACTTCTGGAAGCAGTTCTGGAAGTTCACTTTTGTGAGTGTCTTACAATACAGTGGTTAACTCGATGCCCTGACTCAATTCATAATGTTTATCTTTGATGGTCATTTGACTTCAGGGGAGAGACAGAAGTTGCACTGTGCCCAATGTTTTTATGAGTCTTTCTTCTGGATGGAACTTGATACCAGGGTTTACTGAAGTTCGATTACCCCTTATAAAGACACTCACAAAAGATGACTTCCAGAACTTATTCAGCAAGTAAAAAGAATCATGAGATACATATATTCAAACCAAGGAGTATTTTCAAAGAAATTAATGGCAATTTCTCTTTTGCTGTAAATTTTTATACATTCACTATATATTTTGATCATCCCTTGTACTTATAGCCTGAATATTGTTAGCGCATATGTGTTTCGACTACAATTCATCACAAAATTGCAACTTATCACATGAGGTCAAGTACAGAGTTATCCACATTTAGCATCTTGTCAGCAATGAAAGTTTCATATTCTTCCTGAATCAGGGTACTCAGGCTATAGCAAAGTCATGAAACCCTGCCTGACATTTAGTTGTCCTCAATTCTTTTTTGCCACAAGACACAAATAAAAGATTTTAAAATTTAAAATACTTGCTTACTATAAACCCAAGTTATACCAAATGTATAAAGTTCAAAAGTGACAGAAACCAGAGACAGGGCCAGGGACATAGCCCAGCGGCACAAGCACCTGCCTGGCAAGTGCAAGGCCTTGAGTTCAATTCCCAGTACCAAAAAAAAAAAAAAAGAAACCAGAGATGATATCACTTTGTCACCATCACTCATGGCACCTTCTTCCTATTTTAATAAAGTAAATTATCTTTCAAATATCCTTGCAAATCTTTTAACAAGGAGAAAAGCATGCTTGACACTTTAACTTAACATAAACCATCTGTTCTCCAGTTTAAATTATATTATCTACCAACAAGTGGTCAAAAAGATTTCAATTTCAATAAAGTTATAAAAGTATTATAATGCTTAAACACTAATTTTATGCTATACAAGCTTTTGAAACACCAATAATTAAAAGTTAGGTTTCATCCCTTTTCTTGTATTAAAATTCAATTATACAGGATTTCTAATTAATGATTATTTTAAAAACACACCAGAGCTTAAGAAATCTAATTTTTGACAGCCTGACTAATTTTCCATAGAACTGAGATTTACTAACTTATGTAACTACCTTATGAAAGGTAGTAGGCATCTAATAGTTTTTAAGTACAAGAATATTTTCAGTGCCTAAAAAATATAAACACAGAAATTTCTCGTAACTTCAACTACAAAACTGACACAGACTTGTTCCTACTCTAGTATCTGCTATTTCAGTTTTAAAACAATCATTCACACTCAAGAAGTACTACTTTGGAGCTGTCATGTCATATCAGTTTTTATGCTTGATATTAAAGACACTGGGCTATGAAATCATCAGCAATCATGGAAGACTGTATTAAAAACATTAATACACTGGTATGGTTGGCTTGGCTACACACATCATCTGCACATTTCTGTGGATTTAGAACATGGTACCCTTTATTCAAAACAGAATTATTTCATGACTGCTTTATTAATTCACATGTGAAAGAGAATACAGAAAATATCAGTAGCTCGTATATGGTTTTTATTAATGAAGGTAAATCTGACCATTTCTAGAGCTAGCTCATTTTTATCTCATAAAGAATAAATTCAATAAGCTTTGTACCCTCCTCACATTTACCATTTGGTTTAGCACATATCCCTTACAAGTTAAAAGTGGCCCTGCTTAAATTAGAAAAAATAAAATGAAGCAAATAAAATTATTAAATCCATTAGTTTTTATTAATATGTATTAATTGTATAAAGTAATGAGTTTCACTGTGACATTTCCATATTTTAAGAGGTTATCTATTCTGAACTCATCACATAGTTTATTAGAACTATGAAGGATATTCAATATAAATGTAGCAACAATAAAATTTGAGATTATTTGTCCTTATACTTTTTGCTACATCTTCATATAAATATTTACAATGAATAAATAACACTTACCATCCTGCTGTTTCACAAGCCCTTGCTGAATATAACGAATGTATGTAAAAAAATTACATACAGATGTGATCTAGAACCAAAGTAAAAAAAAAAAATGTCACGACCAGCTGAATGTCTTGTATCAAAGCAGTCTATTAAAACTCATGGTAAATCACTTACCCTATATCTGCAAAAAGGAGAAATATAGTAATAGTTGCTTGAGTCCCCTAGTTTAATTCTGTGTTTGCAGGACTTACTCTGGCCAGTGAGAGCACATTTTCTGTAAAATAATGACAAATTTCCGTTTTTAAAGATTAAAGGCATTATGCCCCTCTGCGCTGTACAAGATGTTTAGCCACTCAGAAAGAACAAGTATTTGAAAACCTAGTAGGAACGAGGCACTGTTTTGGATACTTGACTACAGTAATAAGAAGTAAAAGTCCCTGCCCTCATGAGATTTACATAACACTGTAACACTAACTATGGTTCTAGACATAGAAACTAGATGTTTTAAATAGATGTCCTATCAAACAGCAAAGTTACACAAGAGTAATCGCTGCAAGAGAGCACTCAACTTTCCACAGGACTTTTAACTGCTCAGGAGAAAAGAACCTAACGGTGACTGCTCAAGTTTCAAAATCTGTTATTGGTAGCTGCTGAGAACAGCTTCTAGATGGGGTCCTTTCTTCACTTGCTTGGTTTGTTTCCATTCACTTAATGTGGAAAACAGGGAGAAGTACAAAGGAATGAGCCATCTTATAAACATACTGATCTTAAATCTTATAAAGAGTACACTACATTTCTACCATTCTTTCCATTTGTATACCACAAAATGTAAAATTTGGTATGAGGACTTTCTGCCTGGGATGAGGCCATAAACCTCTGGAGGACAAGGACTTTACACATCTTACAATGCCTACCATCACGCATACGCCTGGGACACAGCAGACACTTGCCAACTGTTAAAGAAGTGATGAGCCACCTGCCACTCTAGTGCTCCATGAGATGAAGCTGGCTTGTCTGTCAGGCTGGCCTTGCAACACACTGGAGATCACCATCACAAGCCAGGAATTTGGCTGGATACAACTACCACTCTCTACCAATGAAAACTCAGCACAGTTCGAAGTATAACAGAGTGACCAGTGGCATTTCACATGACATTCTAAAGAGACATTATATGCACATCAAATTTCAGCTCTACCTACATGAAATATTATGTCATTATATTAAGAAAACGTGGAAAATGAATTATTTGGATAATCTTCAGATCACAAACTGATTCTTACCTTTTCAAAGACATTCTGACTCATTATTCCTTCACTAGTATTATTTCTTTATGGCTTTTTATAACACTATCTTCAAGAACTATTAGGTTGGGGAGGATAAACTAAGGGTCTGTTTTTGGAAGTCCTTAAAATTTCTTTTTTTTTTTTTTTTTGTCTTTTTGAGTTCAAGCTGGTCAAGACTCACTTTGTAGTCCAGGCTGGCCTCAAACTTACAATGATCCTCGTGCCTCAGCCTCCCAAGTGCTGGGATTACAGGCATGTGCCACCCCACCCAGTTTAAAATTTCCAAAAGTGTAATTTACTCAAGAGGAAAAAGTAGCGTTAAACTGATGAAAATTAATTTATGTGTTATTCTTCCAGAAACATAAATATACTGTGTATCTACTGTCTTTTCTAGTTTTAAAAGGGCTTTCCTAAAGTAGTTTTAAGTGTTAACTTTTAAAATAATAACACAGTGTTTCTTAAATGATCTCATTTCTAAAACCATGTGGAAACCAGTCAATGTATTTTTTTTGAGTCTTCTGACTTCACTCCAATATTTTGCTCCAATTTTTTTTACATGTGCTAATATCTTAGTATACCTTTTAGCTCTAGTCTCAGTATTTTAAATCTTTGCTCGCCATTTTCATGTAAGGATGTTAACATGTCTAAATCTAGATCCCTAGTCCTTCCACCACCATAGCCTTTCTGCATAACTCCCAAAGTTACTTCAAGTCATTACTCCAGCGATCCACCTCTAACACCTCTCTTTTACGCAGCCGGAAGCCCTCACCTAACTTTCCTTTCTTGAGATTGTGGCATCCTCCTCTCTTCTCCGTATGTCACATCCTCTAAACACACTGCGCTTCCCTGTTTCTAGGCTTCATTCAGTCAGACGACGTTTTTCTTTCATTTGTTTTTTGTGGTAGTGGGGCTTGAACCCAGAGGAGCTCTGTCACTGAGCTACATCCCCAGGCCTTTTTTATTTTTTTGAGACAAAATCTTACTAAATTATCCAGGCTGGGGTTTTGTTTTGGTTTTGTTTTGGTTTCTTGAGACAGGTGTCACTATGTAGTTCAGCCTGGCCTTGAACTCATGGCAATCCTGCCTCAGCCTCCTGACTGCTGAGTTACACGTGTGGGCCACTACGCCCAGTTTAAATTGCTCAGGCTGTGTTCAAATTTGTGGTCCTCCTGCCACAGCCTTGCAGGAGCTGGGATTACAGGCATGAGGTACTACATCTGGCCCAACTGTACTTTTTCCAAATCTCAGCCACACTTCAAAAACTCAGATCAAATCCCTCTCCTTCCAAGAAGAGTTCTTGATCACAACTGGAATAGTCCTGTCTTCAAAATTCCTGTCGTCCTGAGCCATTTATTAGTCACTGTCTTCATAACCTAATCCCCAAGAGCTTCAGCCGGGGTCACACTTTACATTTCATTTTTAGACAGTTCCTTTATTTTCTTTCCACATAATATACACTACAAGTAGCTTGGATTCTGGCTTCAAACTCAATCACAATATCCTTAAACTAGTGTTACTCTCTAAATCTAGCCTATACAGTATTTACTAAAGTAAATCTACTCTCACTGATACCCTATTTGTCCTTTAATACTTGGCTATGATTACTGTGATATATATTGCAACAACAAAATTTTAATTTTAACTAAAAACTGTCATATGTTACTTTAAAGTAAGGTATGACATAGCCCTTAAAAGTGTAAAAACCACTACTATTACATCTGATTCTCCATTTTGAGGTTGAAGAACTGAGATAAAAACACTTGGGTGTACAATTTAAGAATGTAAACCCCTTCCTTAAAGTTCAGAGGGCTGTGCTGCAGGTGAGTGTAACACAGAACACAGCTTGGGGAAATGTGAGGCTCACAAAGCAAACGTATGACCAGAACCCTCCACAGTCACATAAACGTCACATCCTGTTACCTTGCTGAGAATGTATATAAATGATGAGAAACAGAGAAGTGCACTTCTACAGCAGGCTTTCACAAAGACGTATTAGTTCATCTCAACCAGTCTTGTACTCTTCCAGCTTCAAAATAACCCTGCTAGTAATCAATTGCTTTCAGTGATTTCCTCAGTCTTTCCAATCTCCACACTTATCTGCTTCTTATAAACTGCTATGCAGCGTCCTCACAAGCTTTCTAAGTCATTTGTTTAAACAGAAGCCCAGGCACAGCTACTCCTTGGTTCTGGGCAAAACATTCCCTTTGCCTGAGGTTTTCAGTACTATTCATTTCAGACTTTCCTCCTTATAAGACAGGATGAAAAAGCCCGCCCTGCAATGAAATATGGCAGTCTTACTTCTAAGACTTATATTCTCAAATATCTGTCACATGTAAAAGACAGAATGGATTATTTACCAAAGACAGAATCCTTTGTAATAATGAGGTGAAAGGTAGGGACTCGTCAAGACTTTTTGGCAAGCTTAACAGGATTTGGTCTAACTCAGTATCTCCCCAAACTACTTTTTATGGCAACCCTCAAAAAGAAATATTTCATAGACACTCAGTGCACACAGCCATAAATATATGTAATACAAACAAAAACCTTCGATGTCTCTAATATAACTACGTGGGTCTCTACAATTCACATGCATATATAATTCATATTCATATATACATACAGTATATATATATATTAATTAAAAGAGCTTTTTTCCATCTTAAATTTGAAATACTACGTCCCACACAGTCTGGGGATTTGTCTTTGGCCTGCACAGACTCTAAATAGAAATCTGACAAGAAATTAGAACACATTTAAAAAAAAAAAAAAAAAAAAAAAAAAAAAAAAAAAACTAAGTCTGCAACATACAAAATTTCAAATCTCATCTCCCCCAAGCCACAGAAGAGAAAACCTACTTTGGTCCTCCACATTCAACTGCAGAAGCTTTAACAAATCGAATAGGTTGTAATCCCACTGGTTCGATGCTTAGAGTATTGTTTTCCACAGCCTCCAGAACAGCTGAAGCCAACTTAAAAAAGAAAAGTATTAGATCACTATGCTTGCAGAAAAATGTTGATGAAACTGTATTCAACAGTAACCTAATTTCATAAATTATTCTCACCGAAGTCTCACTAACCCAACCTTAGCCAAGGCAGTTCAGTCACAGAGAAGTAACTTTTCCCGTAACCTAGAAGAGGGCTAAAGGTGTTCATTCTAGTCTCTGTCTATTCCTTACTCACAGCTAGCACTTACCGAAATACCACCTCAAAATCAATTATGTAATAAATACTAAGTATATATTTACTAAGTATACAAATACTAAGTATGTATTTTCCCAAATTTGTTTCTATGTGTACAAGTCTACAAAAAAATAAATGTTACAAAATATTAGGTCTCCAGAATAACCCTTGAAAAATAGATAAGAAAGGGAAATGCCTCCAGTCTGCTAAGATTAGGACTGGCCTACCAGAAACCAACTACACAACCACCATAAATGACATATATTCTTATCAAAGTGTTACACTATTCATCTTCACTTATCCTTACAAATAATGTTATAACTAAATCCTCAAAAGATTTAACAAGAGTCTTAGGATTAAATATCTTAAGTATTAATCAACAGGGTATGTGAAGATAAACCTTTCACACGCAAGGACAAACTAGGTAAGTTTACATTTGTATAATACCTTGTATTTTTAAAGTTTTTGTATCTATTTAATCGACTTCATTTTTCCTTCTAACAACCCAATAATATAAGCAAAGAAGGCATTACTACTCCATTTCAAAGATGAAGAAACTAATATGGTTTTTCATCATGTGTAGATGAACCCAACAAACACCTCTAAGAATGTTCCTCACAATGAACCTGGGACTGAGTCTTCAGCCCTGCTCTCCTCCCCACATTATTTACACTTCACTCCAATGCAATACACATTTTAGTGTGAACAGCCTAAGCTCAAGTAAGAAAAGCTATTCAACAACTGAATGCCAGCAATTACAATCCTAACATAAAATAGAGAAAATGGCAAAAACATGACATTTTATAATAATGTATTTGAGATAAGGGCTATTAAAATACCTAATGTGACTTAAAAAGTACAGAAACAACTGTAATGCATTCCTATTAAAATAAAAAAAATTTACCTCACTTTTTGCGAATGTTAAACATGGGAAGATATCTTCCTGATAGATTTTGTCTAAGAAAGGACACGTTCTGTCCATTGTGGGCTCATCCTTCCAAGATCTGAATTCATTATACAGAGATAAATCAGCCTAACAAACAAAAACATGAAAAAAAGTTTTACAAAGAACAAACATAAAACTACTTTATAAAAAAACTAATTTAAACACTACTCAAAAGGTAATGCTCTTCATTTAAAATAACTTGAACTGTTCCTAATTATAACACGACAGCAATTTTTCTTCTAATTTTTCAATGTATCCACTATGATCTCAAAAGACACTATCATTTTCCTTACCCATATCCCCCAAAATTAATGATGGAGCTACTATTTTTTTTTTTTTCTTTTTCTTCCAGTACCGGGAATCAAACTCATGACCTTGTGCTTGCCAGGCAGGTGCTGTGCCACTGAGCTAAATCCCCAGCCCCTGGAGCTACTATTAAGACAAGTGCACATTGTTCTGAATATGAAAACTGGTGAAGTTGTCTCTGAAAATAATTCAAAGGCAATTTGGAGACAAGCTGATTAAGTTCTTAAATAACCTGAGACTGGCTGGGGATATAGCTTAGTGGCACAAGCGCCTGCCTGGCAAGCACAAGGTCCTGAGCTTGGTTTCTAGTACCAAATAAATAAATAAACAAACAAAGACTAAATTGTAAAATCTAGTTTGGAGTCAAAATGATAGTAACTGTGCTATTACTGCATGGCAGTCCCATAAGAACTTTCAAAATGCTTACTGTATAAATAGGAAAACAAAATGAAGCACACTACAGTCTATTAAATTGGCCATTATACTTCTGGCACTTTGATGTCCAGTATCTACCATCTGGATTATCAGTAATACATCCATGGCTGGCATTCACATTGCTGTACCTGCTCCTGCTTTTTTTCCTTTCCCCTATGATAAATGTTTCCCAACCATTCTTTCCTAGGGATCCTTATACTCCCTTAGCCTAGCTAGCTCCATACTATCTGGTGGACTACAAAGCTGCACTCACATTACCCAGCCAAACACTGCTCTTTCTTCATGCAGCTCTAAACCACTGCATCCGGATAGAATGGGCACCTTATGAACAACACACTGACTGCATCTGTGGCCACCTTCTGAGCTATCGCACTCAAAGGTGCATGTAGTTGACATGAAAGTAACAAGAGGCTAAGTATATTTGTGCTTTCCTACAGATTTTAAGGTGTATAACGGCAATCTCAATGTGAATTTTTTCATCTCAATTCATAAATTCCTTGAATCAAAGCCAAAGGCAAAAGGATAAAGAATATTAGCAGATAAATAGCAATATTTTCAAATTTCTTTGTAAAGTTTACTGAGGAGATGGACATAAATCCCAAAGCAGGCAACTAGAATTCTAAAGACTCTAGTTTAAAGGCAGCAATTTAAACCATTTCTTAAAAGTTGACTCTTGCAAAACATATAATAACCATTTTATAAACATTTAATCCTCAGATCTCTGCAAGACATTTATTATGATCCCCTTCTGGAAGGTAAGGAAATAAGGACTTAGAGAAAGTAACTTGCCCAAGATTACACAGCAAAAAAAGTTCAAATTCAAATCTATGTGGCTTGATCCCAAAGCCTTGCTCTGCACATACTTGTGTCTGCACGCACACATGTGCTTTAAATGCTTACAGAAGACATGTTGCTAATATCATGATTGAGTGTCCCATCATGTTTTCTACAAAAAGAAATAGTTTGTTTTCCTTCAGGTTGTTGTATTTGTTCTAACAATTATGTAAGTCAAATTTTTACGTTTACTTTGTCCAATGAAATTTTCTGACATTACAAAACATCAGAATGTTAAGATATACCTAGAAGGCAAAAAGTTATTATTTTGAAGTCATATGCTCCCTATTTATATCTTAAACAATTTCAAATCTGAAAATGAACTTTTGAAAGGTTCTATAAGAAAACACAAACTTTTAAGTTTAAACAAGGGAAAAATACAAAATTATATACCTGCTGAGAAACTATAGCAAAAATACAAGTTTAATAAGCAATTAAAAATGCCACTCAAAGAAATCAAAGGTTTAAAATTTTCTTAAATATGTAACAGAAATAGATGTGAATTGTAGATTTGTTAAGATTTCACTAAGTATTGAACTTCTCTCTAATTAGCATCTTTCTTATTAACTAAAATGCAATTCAATTAAAATACTTAACTTTGGTTATTCAATTTAATAAATTTTCCTCAATAAGATACTGGCAAGCAGAATGCAGAAAACCATTAAGAAAATTATACACCATGACCAAGTGAGATGGTTCAACATATGCAAATCAATAAATGTAATACACATTAACAGAGCCAAGGACAAAAACCATAGAAGGAATTTGACAAAGTTCAACATTCATTCATGATAAAACCCTACAGAAAATTGGAATAGTCTTTATCACAATCCAAGAAATGCCATCTAAATATAATCAACAACTGAGATCACATCATAATTATAAAGATTGTGTACAGCAAAAGATATCATCCACAACGTGAAGACACAACCCACAGAATGGGAAAAAATTTTGCCAGCTGTTCCTCACACAAAGGACTAACATTTAGAATATATAAACCAATAGTCAACATCATACTAAATGGACAAAACCTGAAAACTTTTACTCTAAAATTAGGAACAAGACAAGAATGTCCACTATCAACGTGTTTATTCAATATAGCTCTGGAAACATTACCAGAGAAATCAGACAAGTGAAAGAAAAAAAGAAATAAGATCAGGAAGGAAGAAGTTAAATTATCATTATTTGCAAATGACATGATATTCTACATAGAAGACTCCAAAAACTTAACCAAAAGACTTCTACATTTCATAGCCAAATTCAGTAGCACAGCTAGATATGAAATCAGTACTCAAAAATCAATAGTCTTCCTGTACATGAATAACAAAATCACCAAGAGAGAAATTAGGAAAATACCTTTCACAATAGCATAAAAAAAAAAAAAAAAAAAAAAAAAAAACAAACGCAACACCTAGGAATCAATCTAAGGAAGGATGTAGAAGACCTCTACACTGAAAACTACAGTACTCTGAAAAAGAAGACTGAAAAGCGTATCAGAAAATGAAAAGATCTCCCTTGCCCTTGGGTAGAAAGAACAAATATAGTGAAAAGGGCCATACTTCCAAAATCACTATACATCTCAATCGAACCTCCAACAGCATATCGCACAGAATTAGAGAAAACAATCCTAAAATTCATTTGGAACCAAAGAGACCTAGCATAGCAAAGGCAATTCTGGGCAACAAAGGTAAGGCAGGGGCATCACAATCCCTGACTTGAAGTTACACTAAAAAGCTACTGTGGTAAAAAACAAACAACAAAAAGAAAACAGACCTGAGGATCAATGGAACAGATTAGAAGAGCAGAAACACCACCAGACAAACTCAGCCACCTTATCTTTAACAAAGGTGCCAAACACCTTTATTGGAAGAAAGACAGCCTCTTTAATAAATGGTGCTAGAAAAACTGGTTTACCACACACCAAAGATTAAACCTACACCCGTATTTCTCACCATACACTAAACTAAAATCAAAATGGATCAAATATCTAAATATTAAAACAGAAACAATCTTCTAGAAGACAGACTAGGTAGAACTCTTGAAGATACTGGTATAGGCAAAGACTTTATGAACAAAACCTCAATCACACAGGAAATATAATCAACTGCAATCACACCATAATTATAAAGCTTGTGTACAGCAGAAGACATCATCCACAGAGTGAAGACACAACCCACAGAATGGGAAAAAATTTTGCCAGCTGTTCCTCACACAAAGGACTAACATCTAGAATATATAAAGAACCCAAAAAGTCAGACACTAAACCCAATCAAAAAACGAGCATGTGAAATGAATAGACATTTTTAGATGAGAAAGTACTAATCACCTTATTTTCATATATTTATGTTCATATTTTATTACAGCACTCCAGCAATAACACATGTGGACTAACCAAGTCACTAAAGCCACCACTGTCCTTTATATAAGACATGACAGTTTGTTTCCTAAATAAAAAAATGAGATCAAGAAACTTACCATATTTCCAGCAGGTCCTCCAAGGTCAGGCAGGTAGAGAATGGAAGTGAAGAATCCCTGAAAGCAGCCAGCTCTAGACAAAGCCTCCCCCATCTTAATACTGCACATTTTGTACTAAAAATTTTGCTGGCAAAAATCTTAACTGACACCTCAGTGATGAGAATTAACAAGTACCCACAGAGTCAGAGGGGACAGTCCTTGACGAGTTACCTCTTTGCAGTCTTTTACAATTGGCTGTATCACACTGAGGTCCTGATGACTGCCACTCATAGCACTGCTTGTACTTTTATTTCTTGTATGCCCCCTTTTAAAAGGTGTCTTTCCACCTGGCAGAGGCTCTTGAGTAGGTGATGTTGGAGAACTGGACAATACGAGGGTCTTCAATGCAGCTACTTCAGCTTGAAGTACATCAATCTTGAAAAGAAATCAACATTTTATGACAGATCAAACTATGTTAGTGATTTGGGCAAAACACTTTCAAAGCTGGACAGTAAGTTTAATTTCTATTTCCTGTAGACTACTAAAAGGAAAACACATTCAAGTATTTTGATGTTTCCATATGGTGCAGATTCAGCTACTACTCATAATGTCACATGAAATTTTTTAATCATCAAAATGTAACTTATGATTACTTATAGCACACTCCTAAAATATTAAAAATAGACTAACACTTAGGTGTCTTTTTCAGTGAACTGGAAAATAAATATTAACTCTAAAATGATTTTATAATCCTTTTGATAGTGCAAGCAATTTACAAAGCTTTAAATTATTTGGTTCTAATATAAATGGATACCGATATTCACTTGTTATTCTGCATTAGTTGTGATATCGTAGCTGTTTTCTTTGTATTTTTCTGTAGTTTCCAAGCCAAAAAAAGCACTGCTTTTATAATTAGGACAAAATCCAACAGATGCTGAAGTATCTTTAACACAATAATCTTTCATTTATTTATATGTTTTATTATTAAGCAATAAAAACTTACTTTCCCTTGTGCTTCTTTCAGCTGTTTTTCCGCAGTTGCCTGCTTGACATTTGCTTCTCTCACCATCTTATGAGCTTCCTGAAAAAGTTAATATCCCATATTTTAGAAACAAAATATGTATCATTTGCTTTAAAAAAAATCTTTCACCAAGTGTCCATGACTGAAGCAAAAATATACTGCCAAAATTTAGCCTGAAACTAAGAATTCAACTAAGAAATGGCAGCAGACATCCGAGAGACAAACTACCAAGAATGAATAGGTATCCTCCAGTCAGTACCTATGACCGCTGAGGCAGGCAGCTGAGTTTAATCATTCTGACAGATGTCTGCGCAAAGACTGTAACAGTGATGAAAGAAAACACACAATGGCCCACAGGTCAAAGCTAACTCCTCTGCATGTTCACATTACTAGTCATGGCAAAGGAAGGACAAATAAAAATATGAACACATTAATAATGTAGTTTACAGGAATTATAGAGAAGTCTCAGAGTTTCCAAGAAAAACATTCATACAATGATATTAAATAAAAATTGGTATGAAAAAGCAAATCAGAGTTTACCATTTAATAAGGTATTAACTTTTAACATCACAAATATGAATGCTAGGCATTTAATTACTTTTATTCATTCAGTATCTACTCATCAAATATGTATTCATTACGTATCTTCGTGAGTACCATTCCAGGTGTTGATAATACACTTGGAAAAGAGAAGAGGTCCCAGCTCTTAAAGAACTTCTGTCACATTCTAATAATCACATAAGAATCAAGGGTAAGCATTCTGGATTTAGGGAAAGAATAATATATCTTGTATTTTCAAAAGATTACACTGCTGTATGGAATAATTTCTTTAAGGGATTAAGGACGGGCTGGAACACTACAGAATTACATAATTCTCTGGGATGTAAGAATTTATATTTAGAACTTCAATTTATAGTTAGCTTGAATTGAGGGCGGACAAGAGGGAGGTCAAAGATATTTTAATAGGTCCACAGTCTGACAACTGTTCCCTCACAAAGGAAAGGGGGACCCAAATGGAAAGGGGGAACCAGACTGAGGCAAGAGCAGTATCTAAAAAGATAATGGAAAGAATTCTGCAAATTCTGCAAAAAATGTCAAAGGGCAGATTTTTTTAATGTTTGAAAATTAATCTACCATTCTCTCCTTCCGACACTGAAAATGATGTAAATATAATCTATACGAGGAGTCAGTAAACTTTTTCTAGAAAGGATGAAATAGTAAATAATTTTGGACTTGAAGGCCAAATATAGTTTCTATTCCAACTACCCAACTTGGACTTTGCAATATGAAAATAGTTATAGGCAATACATAAACACATGAATGTGCTCAACAAATGAAGGGTTAGCTGGGGATGTAGCTCAGCAGCCCAGCAGCTGCCTGCCAAGCATGAGGTCGTCAGTTTGATTCCTGGTACCAAGAAAAAAAAAAATTAACAAAATAAATGAAGAGTTCTCAATAAACTTTATGAACACTGAAAGCTGCATTTCATATTATTTTTCTGTATATCCATCACCTCACAAAGTTGTGTTTCTGTTGTTCTGTTTTTTTGGGTAGTAATGGGAACACTTAAGATCCACCTTCTCAGAAATTCCAAGCACGTAACACAGTCACCAGGCTGTACATCAGACTTTCAACATTCTTCTGCATAACTGAAATTTTGTTCCATCTGCCAACATTTCCCATTTATACCACCTATCAAGCGCTGGTGAACATCAATCCACTCTGTTTCTACGAGTTCAACTAATTTAGATTTCACATGTAAGTGAGACCATGCAGCATTTTTCTGTATCTGGCTTGTTTCACTTATAATGTCCCCTAGGTTCATCCATGTTACCTCAAATGACAGGATTTCCCTTTTAAGGCTGAATGACATTCCAATTTTATACATGACAGATTTTTGTTTACCCATTAATGGACACTGTTTTCATAGCCTGGATAATGACAAGTTGTTGCAAAGAACATGAAGTACAGGTATTAGACACTAATTTTCTCTCCTTAGACATATACATAGCAATGGGACTGTTAATACCACCATACTGTATTCCATAGTGGTGGAACCAACTTATATTCCACCAACAGTATACAAGGGTTCTTTACCTTCACATCCCTGCCAACACCTGCTACCTTTTGTATTTTGATAAGAGCAGTTTAACAGGTATGAGATAGTTAGAGAGTTTTGATTTGTAATTACCTGTTAGTGACTTTGAACAACTTTTCACATACCTATTGGCTACTTGCAAGTCTTCTCAGAAGACATTCTTTACATATTTGGGGTATTAAACCCATAATAGATACAGGGTTTATGAATATTTTTTCATTCAGTAGGGTGCTTTTTCAATTTTTTGATGCAGTGGCTTCTCAGTTTGTTTGTTTTTTTGAGACAGGGTCTCGCTATGCAGTTCAGGCTGGCCTTGAGCTCACTTTGTAGCCCAGGCTGGCCTCAAACTCACAACACTGTTCCTGCCTCAGCCTCCCGAGTGCTGGGACTACAGGCGTGCGCCACCACACCCAGCCCTAGCTTCTCAGTTTGATGCCCTCTGTTTATCTATTTTTGCTATTATTGCCCATGCTTTTTGGTGTCATATCAAAAAAAAAAATCACTGCTCAGACCACTATCAAGAAGCATTTTCCTTGTTTATGCTAGGTGTTTTATAGTCTCAGGTCTCACATTCAAATCTTTAACACATTCCCGCAGCTTCAGTCACCAGTGGTACATGCATAACTGTCCCAGTGGGCTGCTTTTATCACCGTGATCAGACCATCCTATACCCCGCAATGGGACAGTCATGCATGTACCACCAGTGCTTCACACCAGAGAGAACAAACATATTCAAATCAGAGCCATCCAGCAGTGAGACATATGAGTCATAGCTGCACCCTTAATGTTTATCAATTTGAGACTTTATGGTTTGAGATAAGGGTCTAGGTTAATTCATTTGCATGTGGACATCCAGATTTCCCAGCACCATTTATTGAACAGACTAGCCTTTCACCAATGGGTATTTAACTCCTTTGTGAAGATGAGCTAATCACAAACTCAATTCTGGGCTCTTCATTCTGTTCCTTTGGTCTCTATAACACTTTATCAATGTCACACTGTTTTGATTACTGTCAGTTTGCCATATACTTTTGAGGTCAGAAACTGTGATATACCCAGATTTATGTTTCTTGTTCGAGACTGCTTTAACTGTTCAGTTCTTCATGGTTTGTGGTATCAGTTTTCTCATTACTGGGACAAATTATCTGACACCCACAACTTAAGAGGAAAGGTTTAACTTGGCTCATGGTTTGGGGTTTCAGTCGATGGTAGGCTGGCTACAAACTGCATGGTGAGAGGGGGTGGAGGAGGAAATCTGCTGACTTCACGCCAGCCAGGAAGCAGAGACAAGGGAGCAGCTGAAGGAGAATAATTGGTCCTTATGGGAATAGACACTTATTTGACATATGGATTTATCTTCCCTATCTGTAATGCTTCCGCCCAAAATACCACCCATATACATATAGAATGCTTCATCCACTGTCATGGTATTGCGGACAGTATTGCTTCTGACCAAGCAACATACTTTATGGCCAAGGAAGTGCAGCAATGGCCTCATTTTCACAGAATTCACTAGTCTTACCATCTTCACTCATCTGGATGCAGCTGGACAGAACAGTGGAATGGGCTTCGGAAGATGCAACTACGGCTCCATCTACATGGCAATACATTGCAGAGCTGGAGCAAGGTTCTCTAGAAGGCTATATATCCTCTCAATCTGCACCCAATATATGTAACTGTTTCCCTCATAGCCAGGATTTACAGGTCAAGAATCAAGGTATGGCAACGGGAATGCTACTACTTACTAACTACCCCTGTAACAGGTAGAAGATGTAACTTACCAGCAAAAAATTTCCTTTCAATTCCCATGACCTTATCCTAATGCCTTAAGGGAACTCCCACACTCCAAATACAGTCTTCCTTACCTCCATTATGGAGAAGTAATTCAATTTCCCCTTCGTAGTCTGGATCAATCTTCCCCCACCAACACCTTACGTCCCTTTTTAGCTTGTTGACTGAAAGGCATGAGAAGCCCGAAGTGACCAGGGGTTAAGTTTTAGGTTCTGCTTCACTGAGATCATTGCTGTGCATCCTGACAGAAGCCTTTCCCTTTCTGGAACTATGACTTCTAAGCCATCTCTCAGTACCATACCATGTAATGAAAGTCAATGGGACACACAACAACCCAATGTAGACAGGCTGATAAATCAGTCAGAATTTTCATCAATTAAGGTATGGGGGTCACCCAACCAGGTAAAGAACCAAGACCCACTGAGGTGCTTGCTGAAGGTCAAGGGAATGTAACAGGTAGAAGATGTTAGTTATAAATACCAGCAATGCCTACATAACTAGTTACAAAAATGAGGGTTGTAACTGTCATGAGTATTTCTTTTCTTTTTTTGTTGATACTTTTGTGCATATATACATATAAGCCAAGCAGATGTATGTTTGTTTTCTTTGTAATATATTGATTTGACTTAACATCAGTAAATACACTTACACCTACATTATAATATTCAAGTTATGGAATGTCAGGAGAACAGCAGGAGTTACACAAAGAAAAACTCTACCTTCTAGTATGGAGAACTAGTGTATTTTTGTTTGCATGCAAGACAGTTGTATCATAGTCGTAATTATGAAACTTGCTATTTTATTTGGAGATTAAGTATGGTTTAAAGAATTGTGTCTGGATGTCAAGTAGACGAAGGATGGACTGTGACCAGTAATCACAGTATGCAACTTGAATGGATTAAGAAACACCTTGCAGATTAGTGGGGCAAAATTCTGGGTGTGTATGTTGATGAATGATGGTCTAGACCAGCAAACAGAGAGAAAGAACCATGCTGGATATTTGTGGTACCAACCAACAGGCTTAAAAAAAGAAAAGAAGAAAGAATCGTCCCTATTTTGGAAGAGCTCCAGTTTTGCCATCACCTCTGAACACTGGTCTCCAGTTTCTTCAGCCTTTCAGCAAAGACTGGACCAGCAACTCCAGAGTGAGCTTAGGTCTACAACTTCTGAC